TTACGTAGCAAAACTAGCAGACGACATAGCAAGACTAGCGGGATCGGCAAACAGCGCCGCCGGGCGGTGACTGACGATAGTGCAGTGACTGGCTCTCCCTGCCGGCTGAAGCCTGCCTGGCTCTCCCTGCCGGCTGAAGCCTGCCTTGGCTCCCCTGCTGGCTGAAGCCTGCCTGGCTCCCCCTGCTGGCTGAAGCCTGCCTGGCTCCCCCTGCTGGCTGAAGCCTGCCTGGCTCCCCCTGCTGGGCTGAAGTCTGCCTGGCTCCCCCTGCTGGCTGAGTCTGCCTGGCTCCCCTGCTGGCTGAAGTCCTGCGCTGGCTTCCCGCTGCGCTGAAGCCTGCCTGGCTCCCCGCTGGCTGAGCTCCGGTCCTGACTCGCTGAAGTCTGCTGGCTTCCCCCTGCTGGCTGAAGTCTGCCTGGCTCCCCCCTGCTGGCTGAAGCCCTGCCTGGCTCCCCCTGCTGGCTGAAGTCCTGCCTGGCTCCCCCTGGCTGAGCTGCCTGGCTCCCCCTGCTGGCTGAATTCTGCCTGGCTCCCCCTGCTTGCTAAAGCCTGCTTGGCTCCCCCTGCTGGCTGAAGCCTGCCTGGCTTCCCCTGCTGGCTAAAGTATGCCTGACTCCCCCTGCTGGCTGAAGCCTGCCTGACTCCCCGCTGGCTGAAGCCTGCCTGACTTCCCTGCTGGATAAAGTATGCCTGACTCCCCGTGCTGGACTGAAGCTGCCTGACTCCCCTTGCTGGCTGAAGCTGCTGACTTCCCACGAGTTCATCCCTTTTGGCATCCTTCCTAGAGCTCATGCTGGCTCTCATCCTGGCTGGTTCTCGCCGCTGACATCCTGCTACTTCTACTACCCTATGCTACATCTACTATGCTATACTCCCCCTGCTACCCAGCTGTTACCCCTGCTCCCCCTGCTACCCATGTGACCCCTCTGTTACCGCCTCCCTACTGAATGGTCCGTCGGGACAGTTCGCATGGCAAAGTCGCGTATCGCCTGCATCAATTACGTGATTAAAACAGCGCGATGGTTGTTTACGCAGTCTCGGCAATAGCGCGACAGCGCGACACGAATCCGGTCGCAAGGCGCAGGATAAGCAATAGTATATGATAAACACTGATGTAGCATATGCAATAGGGTCGATAGGCAATAGTGTAGTATAAACATTTGATGTAGGATATGTAATAGGGTCGGTTAAAGCAGTATTTGTAGGATAACACCGATTTAGGATATGCAATAGGGTCGGATAGGCAATAGTGTAGTATAAACCCTAATATAGGATATGCAATAGGGTCGGTTAAAGCAGTATATATTGTAGGATAAACACCGATTTAACATGTGCAAAATTGTCGGATAAGCGATGGTGTAAGATTAACATTCGTGTAGCTTATACAATAGGGTCAGGTAGGCAATAGTCTAGGGTTACTTATAGGGCGCCAGAAACACTAATGCAGTATATGTATAATAGAACAGGCGATAGCATAGAATAAGCGTGCAATAACGCATGGTAAGCAATAGGTGCTAGCGTATAGTCAGACAGCTAAGCAAAATGATGTGGGCGTTCTGCCACGTCCCACATGCCCCACCTTACCATAGCTTTTATTTTTAATAGTATCAGTGTGATTAGTAGCAGCGTAAGATATAAGTAGGAGATTACTTCGCAGCAATGATCCGTGGACCAGGGCAATGTAATGATTCATAAGCTTGCGCTCAGAACACGATTAATCGAATATCGGCCGTTCACGCAGTCGATGTTTGTACGTTGACTTCATCGTCAACAGCGGTAGTGTGGGTTATCCCAGGTCGAGATGTAAACACACGCGCGCACGAACGCGCGAGCGTCGGCGTGCACACAGACACACGCGAATACCGTGTAATCAACACTATAAATCAATAAATAAATATATATACATATATATATATATATATATATACGTGTATGTGCGTGCGAGTGTGTGACGCGTGCATAGTGCGCGTATGTGTGTTTAAAGTGCGAGCGAGTGGTGAAGTGAGTGAGCGACGGCGACGCGAGCGAGCTGTTGCGTTGCGTGCGTGGACCGTGCGTGCGTGTGTGTGCTGTGTGTGTGTGTGTGTGTGTGCTGTCGTGTGTGATTCTGTTATACATAATACGATTATCGATGACGATAACGTCTGGCCATGGAAGGAAGGATTAGCAGCTGCTTTATGGGCAGACGCAGCGCTTAAGTCACTAAAGTGCGACATGCGCGGGCGGTTCGCCACAACCAAACGCGCACACGTCACACGCCACACGCCACACGCACACGCACACGCACACGCACGCCGCCTGGGGTTATCATGCAACCACTCTGCTTATGCGATATTTGATATGCCGGTGATGGCACGCAGCGTTGCCTTCATTCCGTACACAGGCGCAAAATTAGATTAGCCTGCGCGCGAGGCATATCAGCAGAAGGGCTTCTTTCCATCATTCCCTGTCTACAAGTAATTCATCGCGCTCGTATATCAGCGACGAGCTTCGATGGGTATTATGCAGGCACCGAGAGAGAGAGCAGGAGGAGACAGAGAGAGAGCGGCGGGGGGGCAGAAAGACATAAGCCATATAAAAGAGAGAGGGGGAGCGAACTTGCGAATGATGAGAGAGATGCGGCAGATGATATGTATATAATATACAGAGAAGGCGAGAGACGAGGAGAGAGAAAGAAGGGGCGGATGGAGGAGAACAGGGAAGAAGGTTAAGGCGAATCAAAGAGGGGGACACCGGAGCGAGAAATGGCGGTTTCGCGAGAAGGAAGAGAGAGAGAGAGACGAGAGCGAGATAAAAGGACAGAGAGAGAGAGGAAAGGAGAGATCGCGAGAGAAGAAGGAAAGAGAGAGAGAGAGAGAGAGCGGGATGAGAGAGAGGGAAGAGAGGATGCGCTGCGTGCAGAATTGCGCCATGTTGCGCGTAGTTTGTCGAGAACACGCGTACAACGTGTTGCATGTGATTACTAGAGCCACTACAACGAGTTGCATCGTTGAGTTAACTAGCATGCAGTACACATACTGTTTGCATTGATTATTAGCAGGCAATACAACATGATTGCACTGTGATTACTTGCGCCGGAACATGCGTGTTGCATGTGTATTACATTAC